CCCCGGCCGCGGGGCTCCCCACAGCGTGGCCACGGTCAGGGCTGCCCAAAGGTAGGGTGGGTGCCCGGCTGCGGCGAGCCCGGCCACCCGTCATGGGGGCACAGGGTTGTGATTTGACTGGAAAACCAGATGAAGGGACTCGGATGGAGTTCCAGTGTGGAGGCTGAAGCAGGACGGTCACAAGTTTGAACCCAACCCGGGCAACTTAGTGAAACTCTGTCTCAAAATTTTAAAAGTGCTGAAAATGTAGTGAAACGGGTCTCAGATTCTAAAACAAGAAAGGCTGGGGATGTAGTGCACAAACCCTGGGTTGACTCCTGCTAACGTGTGCACACGCGGATGGGGCTGACTCCACCACAGCTAGGAAAACGTTTATTTCGACTTCAGGTTTCTGGCACTTGGGGGAGAAGAGAGGGAGGAACGGAGGGTGAGGAGAGACGTGCTCAGGCCTGGCCCCTAGAAGACGCCTCCCTCCATCCGGCCACCGATGGCCACCGGCGCACAGAGGGGCCGGCTCTTTCGGTCCCTGTGTACCCGTGGTCTCGGGAGCCGGGCAGGAGGGAGGGAGCAGAGCCCCACTTCCGCCCCGGGTTCCAGCAGGCTGACCTGTGTGAGGTCTGGGAGCCTCCTCTGGACTTGAGTGCATACAGGAAAAGACCCAGGAGGTGAAACTTATAGTGGATGACAGAGAGATGGAGGCCAGGGTTTAGATCAGTGGTTCTGTCGTCTGTCTTGCAAGCAGAAAGTCCCAAGTTCAATCCCCAGTACCAAAAAAATAAATAAGAGGCGAGAGAGAGAGAGAGAGAGAGAGAGAGAGGGAGAGATGGGAGGGAGAGAGGGAAAGATGGATGGAGAGGACAGAGTGAGACAGTCCTTCCTTTGGGGGTTTTTGTTTTTGGTTTTTTTCAGTACTGGGGGACTTGATCCCAGGGCCTTTGCCCCAGAACTTTTTTTTTTTTGAGACAGTTTCTGGACACAGTGACGCACACCTATACGCCCTGCACTCCAGAGGCTGAGGTAAGAGGATCGCTGAGAGTTCCGGGACAGCCTGGACTACACAGTGAGATCCCATCTCAAAAACAAAAGAAACAAATAAAGAAACTTTGAGACAGGATCTCACTAGGTTGCCCAGACTGAGCTTGAACTTGCCACCTTCCTGCCTCAGCCAGTGCTGGGATTATAGGCACCAGCTCAGCAGGCCCCAGATGATCCTTAAATTGTCTTCCAGTTTAGCCAGATGGGCTGGCAAACAGCCTCAGGATGCTGAGGCGGGAGGATTGCCAGGAGTTTGAGGCCAGCCTGGCTTAAGTAGTGAGACCCTATCTCTAACAGACAAACAAAGGCTGTCTTCCAGCTCTAATGCCACAAGCACCCTGCTGCTGTCCTGCCCTTCTGCCGGGGTAAGGCACTTCCAGCAGCCACAGTAACTACGGCAGCGACAGTGAGAGCCAGATGGGGGTCCTTAGCTGGGGGCTCTGCAAGGTGAGACCACGTACCCAGCAGGACCCCCTCGGTAGCTGCACCCTGAGGTGGAGCCCATGGTCAGCCTCGTGCTCTGTGGGACAGGAGAGCAGCCGGCTCCCCAGCCCTCAGGGATGGGGCACAGCTCCGGGTAGAGCAAGCCTAGTGTGGGCCCTGGGTCCCTTCCCAGCCCTGAGAGGAGAGGCCGCTGGCTCCGCTCCCCAGGGACTCTGCGGGCCCCTCCCTCAGGGGGACGGAAGCCAGGGCCGTGTCAGGATGGTAGGTCCCACGCCGCGAGGGGCCTGCAGTGCTAAATGACACCTGGAGCCTCCCAGACCGTGAGGGTCGCTGCAGGATGCCACCCGGGGCCGCACTGTGGGCACCACCGGTGGGCCAGGCCTGGGACAGAAGCAGACCAAGAGGAGCCACACGTGAGAGGACGGCGCTGCTGCCGCCTCTGCCGCCCCCACACAGCCCGGCTAAGGCATGGTTTCTGCCGTGCGCCCCCCATCGGCCCCCACCTGTCACAGGCATTTCCGGCGCAGGCAGAGCCCCCTCCCCCGCCCGCAGTCCGCCTCGATGCTGATTCGCTTTTCCTGGGCTGGAAGGCTCAGTGTGCCAAGACGGGCGTCCTGGCCAGCATATTGGCACTGCTGGGCGCCAGTGCTCTGCTTCACGAGCCTCTGTGGTCTCGATGAGGTGTGTGACTCCGAAATTTCCAAGCCCCAGAACTCCAGAGTGACAAAACACCAAAGCAGGGGCCTTCTATCTCCATTCCTACAGCCTCCCAAATGCTTGGGATTCTTCTCTCCCTGATAAACTCGCTCTCCTCTCCAGACTCAGCTTCCCTGTCCTGCACATCCCCAGCGAATCCTGCCGCTGGGCTCCCTGCGGTGTTCCCAGCACAGCATGCCTCGGGCTTGGCACTGCAGCTCCCGCAGGAGCCCACACTCGGCACAGTCCACACAGCGCCCTCCCGAAGGCGGGGACCGCAGTCAGCACAGCATCACTGATCCCAGATGCACACCGGGCTGGGGGCACATGCCTGTCCTACCGGCTCTCTGAGACTGGACGGCCACAAATTCAAGCCCAGTCTGGAAAATTTACTGAGATCTTGTCTCAAAACTAAAAAAGGAGGGCCGGGATCCAGCTCAGTGGTGCCACTGCCAGCCTTGCAAACACAGGTCCTGAATTCAATCCCCAGTACCCCCCAAAAATATAACAGAGAAGGGCTGGGGGTGTAGCTCAGTGCAAAGGCCCTGGCTGAGTTCAATGCCCAGTACCACCAAAAAACAAAGCACAACAACCCAGATGTAAACGTCACCCACTGGCTGTATACCCACGACCGAGGTAACAACCCTCCAAACCTCAGTACCCTCACCCAGCAGCTGGAAGGAACGGTCCTCACCTCACAAGTAAAGGCTAAAAGGGGCCCCCAGGGTGAGGGCGCATACCTGTAAACCAGCTACCAGGAGCGT